CACATCCCCTCCGCTGCAGGCCAGCCGGTGCTAGTCCTTAATAGCCTAGCTTGACTTTGGCTTAGCTAACGACGGTGTCACAGGACGAGGAAGTGTTTGACAGGCTGATGGGATGAACAGAGGGACAGGTCAAACACACCGGACTCAGGGAAGCCTTGAGCAGCACGCAACCCTGATCCTCACTCCCACTGTGTCAGTGTGTGCACAGTGAGCATCTCCGACCTGTAATTAACACAGTGAGACAGGAGCCGGTATCGGGGCGGGACCAGACACCACAAACAGTCAACCTCCTCCACCAACCAGTGTGACAGGTGCCCAGCTGCAGTGAGCTCATATTCTGTGTCATGTTAAAGCGGAGTTGGCTAAGATGGTGAAAGGACGTTGTTTAAGTACAACAGGAAACACTAGTGTGGGTGTGTAGCGCTGAGTTGAGGATGAAGAGAAGTGAATTCTTTATTGATTTACCTTTCAGTCACACCTTTTAAGAGAGGCACGTGCTTCAAGAGATCAAGAAATTGAGAATCCACAGGCCTTAAGAGAAGTAGTGTAAGTGACAAAGGAAATAAAGCTCTGCTAAAGGATGAAAGTAAAAAGAGCAGACCTTTTGCAATGTTGCAAAGCATCAAATAATATAAACAACACTTCCTGCAGCTGCTAATCGGTTAGCTGTGAATATCAGCAACAAGAATATGTGATATGTCGTTTGACTGAGTGACTTCAGAGTCCCGTCATTCCTCCTGACCTGGTGTCAGATGGTAGAAGACAGTGTAATGTTGTTTCCACACAGATGTTCTGCAGACGGTGTAAAAAGGCTTCACACGGGGGATTGGATGTCGGCACTTGACGGCTCACCGAGCACTCCGATCTCATCTCGCTCTTCTGACCTTTGACTCACGTTATCTTGGCGCTTCTTGTTTTGCCCTTATCCTGCAAAAGTGCATCTACACAGTCTTCTGCGGAAGGACAGTGTGACCAAACGCAACGAGGCCGGACGGCATACGGGCTCCGTCAGCAGCCTGAAGCCCGGGCTTGTTTTATTTTGAATGACTGAAATGGAACATTTTCAGTTAAATCAGTTTGTTCGTAGGTGTTCAAATGAATCAACTGCATGTTCAGGTCCTCCCACATGGTGAGTTGTTCAACCTGTGCCGTTAGCAGCATTGTGTCGGGCCTGTTGATAAGCCCACTTTGGGCCAAACGGATGAGGCTGCGGTTACATACTGTTCCAAGAAGAAACGCTCCTGTTTTCCTTCCACAGCTTGTCCCGTTAGTGGCCAAGCTAACTTAATCTGTACTTTAAGGAGAGAGAGAGAGAGACGGAGATAGAAAGGGGGCAAAATAGGAAGCTTGTTTAAGACACAAGACAGACTCATTTAGGCTAAATCTGACTATGGCCTCTATTTTTAGCTGTATAGGGAAAGAGGGGGTAACACCACTCCCTTCTGACCAATCAGAGCTTTTCACCAATGAGAGCAGAGAGATGGAGACGCAGTGAGAGAAGTCCCCACCCCTCACTCCCCTCACTCCCCTCACTCTCACCACAGCTCCCTCAC